CATAGCCTTGCTACTGGAGGCATGGGGCTTGAAGCCCAGAGACTGAGGCATGCCCCAGTACTGGGAGCAGATGAAACCCCACTAACACAGCAAGAAGCACCAAGCAGCCGTGTATAACAAACTAACAATTGTCCAAGTCAGAAATAAACAACTGGGGTAGAATGAAAACAGAAAAAAATGAGTAAAATGAAGACCACCGAGTACAGGTAAAACAAGAACAGTTCCAATGACTATCGCCGGTGGTAAGAACGAACTGAGAGGACGTGGGGTCAGCCAGACCACTTATACTAGCATAGGAGTGCACAGCCCCAGAAATGGATGGTTTCAAGACAAAGGAGAGGAAGAAGGGTTAGTGAAGCACCCACAAGGACAACCATCTAAAAGAACCTCATATTTAGCTGGTAGTCCACTATGACTCCTAGACCCCTTTCTGAGTACTTCTTCCTAGACAGCTGCTTCCCATTCTGTATGTGTGAAACAGACTAGAGGACCACAAGTTAAATAGGAGTCAACAGTGTGACACTGTTGCACAAAAAGCAAACATGATTCTAGGAGGCATTAACAGGAGTGTTGTGAGCAAGACACAAGTAGTAACTCTTCCGCTCTACTCTGCACTGATTAGGGTGCAGTTGGAGTATTGCGTCCAGTTCTGGGCACCACATTTCAAGAAAGATGTGGAGAAACTGGAAAACATCCAGAGAAGAGCAACAACAATTATTAAAGGTCTAGAAAACATGATCCATGTGGGAAAATTGAAATAACTGGGTTTGTTTAGACTGGAAAAGAGAACACTGAGGGGGGACATGATAGAAGTTTTCAAGTACCTAAAAGGGTGTTACAAGGAGGAAGAAAAATTATTCTCCTTGGCCTCTGAGAATAGCAACAGGCTTAATGGGTGTGGGAGGAGAAAGGGGGGTGCTGATGTTAGGGTGTTCCTCTTTTCCCCATTTCTGTACCCCATCTCCACACAGAGAGAAGGAGGAGAGAGGTTGGCAATGCAAATCTCTGTCACTCTCATAAACACACACACTGTCCTTCATTCTCATCTCCTGACCCAACACAACAACCCCCCATGTATGTTACTTCTGTCACTGCTTGAAGAGGGGGTTGGTTTTGGTTTTTGACTAGTCTGTGCACGTCATAATTTTCATTTCTCTCTTATGCTTACATTTAATTCTTTGAGCAGTCAGTTCTAAAATGCTGAACCTGTCGTGGCTACAGTAATTATCCCTGTGCGAACTGCTGCTCTTGGAAGTGGCTGGCGTGTTCCTGCAGCCCTGAAAGAGGCAGAGCAGTGGGGCTCCACACGCTGTTCTTGCCTGAGACACCACTTCTGCAGCTCCCATTGATTAATAACGGGGAATCGTGGCCAGTAGAAGCTGTGGGCTCAGTGCCTGTAGATGAGGGGCAGCACATGGCGCCATGGAGCCATTGCTGTACATACCAGCTGCTTTCAGGAGTGGTGCAGGACCAGGGCAGGAGTAAACTTGCCTTAACCCCACTGCCCAACCACTCAGAAGCCATCTCAGTTAAATGGTGCTCAGTTAAATGGTGCCAGAGCCTGCATCCTGAACCCTGTTCCAGCCCTGAAATTTCTCCTGCACCCAACCTCCTGCCCCACACGAGTCCCCCTGCACCCAAACTCTTCCCCAGACCTTGCGCCCTGAAACCCCTCCTGGACCCCAATCCCCAACCCTGGGCTAAGCTTGGAGCCCTGCCCACACACCAAACCCCTTGGTCCAGGACCAGAGCTTGCATCCCAACTCCCTACCCCAGCCTGGTGAAAGTGAGTGAGGATGGGGGAGGAAAGGAGATGGAGTGAGCAGGGTGAGGCTTCAGAGAAGTGGGGGGAACAGATGCAGGGCCTCAAAGAAGGGGCAAGAAGGAAGTGGCACAGGGGTATTTGGGTTTGAGGTAGATCTTACATTGCACTTAAATTGAAAAAGTAAGCTTGTTGTTAAAGGGTTGGAGATCACTGCTCTAGATAGTACTTGGTCCTGCCACAAGTGCAAGGGACTGGACATGACCACCCCTTAAGGTCCCTTCCAGTTCTAGTATTCTGCGATTCTATGTTTCACAAGTGTGTGTTGAATCCCTGTGAGTCCTAGGGGAATTCTGTAATTTTACCACGGCTCCAAATGCAATAATTAAAGAATTCCCCCAAGATTAACCTGTGACATACAGAAGTCTGAGAGGGATACCTGTGTTAGTCTGTATCTGCAAAAACAGCAAGGAGTCCTGTGGCACCTTAAAGATTGATTTATTTGGTCATAAGTTTTCATGGGCAAAGACCCATTTCATGAGATGCTGTGGCATACATGTTACAGACAGGGTCAAGGGTCAGATGTGTGAGTGTAACGCATATACATCACACCTATGACTTTGTTGTAGACAGGATTGTGTCATGTGTAATGTGTTACATATGGCTGGGATTCTGAAGCCCGTTCAGGTTCATAAACTGTCTCATTAGAAAAGGCAGCCTGTAATTTGAGGAGAGGGCACTAGAGCTCACAAGTTTTGCTCAATGAGCTCATTATCCAAGCCCCTCCAGAGCCCATGAAAGGTGTGTGTTGTTCCTGCAGCCTGTGGACTCACTTGACCTCACAAGTTGTGATACAAAAGGTGAATATATGCACTGTCCTCAAGTAGGAGCCCACCCTTAGCACAGGCAGGGGCCTAAAAGAGAGAGGGGCTCTTGCCTCCCGCAGAGAGCAGGTCTCGGCTTCAGCTCCACAGACCAACTAGCTGCTTTGAATGTTGGGTTTGTTGGCAGTTCTTCTGACCCCCCTTCCCTCCTCCCACTCCAGCCATGCTGAAAACGAGATGTTGCTCCAAATCCAGTGCTGTGGAGCAGTTGAGCTTGTGAAAACAAATCTGCAGTGTCAGGCATACACTCAAATGGGAGGAAGTGGTGGCCTCTAAGCAGCTGTTTGGAGTGTGAGGCAGGGACACTAGCAACTCCCTGGAGTTCCTGAGCCCTGCTAGTGGAGTCAGAGACTCTGGCAAGGCAGTGGCTGTGGAAGATTAAAACGGCAGCTCATTTGGTGACTAGGAGAGCCAGGACATTTGGAACCAAAATTAAACTCTTCCTGATTCTATATTGCTGCTGCCCACAAACTGCCCAGAGATGATAATGCCTCTCATACTGCCCCTTCCCAGGCCCAGCACCAATCGCCTTGCACAGAGGTGAGGTCAGGACTTGTTCCCTTCCAGCCCTAATTACAAACACACACACAATTGCTCCCACCGTTTCCTTTCCACCGTATGTTAGGTATCATGGACCCCAGCTCCTCATGCTACCCCCCCCCAGGCCTTGATTAGCCCCCCTACCAGAGCATGGTGCTGTCAGACCCCACTGTCCCACAGTACCACACAAGAATGACTTTGTCTTGCAAGAAAAACAGACCAGACGCTTCCTAGGGTGGGGGTGGGGGGACCTTGTGAAGAAATTCCACAGAATTGGAAAGTCCTCTTGTCTAGGAGGGTTTGTTTGCAAGAGTTTAAATCCAAAGCAGATGGAGCGCTCCTTGCCACTGGGTTTTAGGTTACACTTGAGCTGTGTGTTCCCCCTCCGAACCTCGCAGAAGGGGGGACACCTGTTGTATGGAATTGCCCCAGAAATGCCCACCCTGGAGCTGGGGCCAGCGGTGCAGGATTCCTGGTGGGCTTGAGGCTTGGCTGGGGGGGAGGGAGGGGGGAGAAGGGAGCTGCAGCATCCCGGGAAGCTTAGCCCACCACGGGGGTAATTCTCCAGAAAGCGGCG